GGTGGTGGTGGTGGTGGTGGTGGTGGTGGTGGAATTGGTGATAGCATTGTCTGTGACTACCATGTCTGCCGGTAAGGTGAGGCGGAGTCGGCAGCGTGGTGGCGTGTGTGACAACGGTCAAGTGTCGTCAAATGAGGTGACCTGAGGTGGAGGGTGCTAGGTCAGACAAATGGGCAGATGTGCTCAACGCGCCTCGACAACTTGTCATGGACATCCAACACGAGTGCGTGGGTGAGTGTGTGTCAAGCGAGGCGTGAAAGGTGAGTTGTCACGGTAGGCACTGTTGCGATAAGTGAAGCGATGGAAGGAGGGTTTGAGAGGTGGTTTGATTTGTGGTGTAGTCCGCGTTGCCTCATTCACTCGGTCAGCCAGTGAGGCAGTCTGTCGGTCTGTCTGCCATTCAGTTGGATGTATGAGGCTGTCAGTAAGCGAATAGGAAATGCATTTCCCCAAAATGTCGGAATTATTTCTGCTTCATATTCGAAGCACTTTAGTACCCATATCGCCCTCTAGCCATTTTAATTTGTGGATTTTTTATTTACTTTCTTTTTGATTGGCTGGTATTAATCTATCTTATTACTTATCACATCTGAATAACATTTTTTGTTTTTATGGTAATTTTTATGGAAATCTTTTGATTCCTCTCATCTAAAGTCACTAAAGTGCCCAAACCTCGCCTCGCCTTGGAGTCCACATTGCCGCACATCACAGCCCCCTTCGTTAAAGAGGTGATAAATCTCGAGTCAGACCACGGGCAAAGATACACAACCACCTCATCCCGACAAATTATGGCTGAGGTTTCGGTCTCCGCCTCCAGTGATTTGGTTAACTTGTACCAAATGTAATGCACATTTTGGTGGTTGTCGCTGACACCGAAAATCGAGGCATGATAATTTTCTCATCTCTTTCACACTGTGTTTGACAAAGAAAAATTTGTTTGCTTGGTTTACGTAGCCATGCGTGCTTTTAATTGCCCTCATCTTTACACTGTCTGCTGCTTTACCTTCCTCCCTCCTTCTCCTTCCTCTTCCTCTACTGGGACAAAATTATAGTCAGTAGACCACCTTATGGCATAATTTTACAGGCCAAAGTCCAAACGGTGTCATTATTTTACAACTAAGCTCTTGCCTGGAGTAAAGCAAAATCCCATTTATTTTACCTTTTTAGTATTATGGGAGAACAGCGCCTCCTCTGAAGTTTTATTATTATTATTATTTTTATTTTTTAGAATGAGAAATTGGAGGCGATTTAAACAATTTAATCTGTCACTGGCCTCATTCGCACCATAAATCCATCCTAACGAATGGCCTATGCAAATGTTTGGTCAGATATGAACCGGTGATATGGCAAGTTATTAATTGCCAGTTGAAGCCGCCTCTCTCACACGATGAGATGCGAGGGAGCAGATGAAAGACATCGTCACGGAAACCTACATCATTTATGTTGGCAAACAGATGTTCTTGCACTTAAAGTTGAGCATGTTTCTTCACTGTTTTAAAGTATTTTTATTTTAAACGCCCTTTTTGTCACTTAAAGCACAAAAAACCGCTTTTGTGAGGTTTATTATTATGAGGCCAGCATAAATTAGAAGATGTTGGAGTTAGAAGGGCAGCCAATCTTGAATTACTCGATGCACATTGCTGCATAATTAACATTAATGACCTCATTCTCTTTCATAAGCACACTAAGATTGATACTATCATACTACTTATAACGACGTTTTCAGTAGGTTGAACAGTATCACGTATCTAAGGGCAGGCATCCTTGGCTAAACATAAATACACCGATTAGTGGGGTGATCATCACATCCCAGCGTGTTGTTTGTTCACGTCACACTCAAGAAACCCAAATTGTTCTACTACATCCGCCTCTATGCTCAGTGTATGGAATCCCATTCGGCAGGTGTGTGTGTGTGGCTCTTCACTAATGCTAATGACGCTCTCTAAGCTCGTTCCACACTAAAAGCCTTCCTTCTGGTAACTTGTTTGCGCTTAAAATGGAGGCATTTACCGTAAAGTACACCTTACACGTTACCTTGTGGGATCTCTAGGCTATTTGACAATCCGCTCTGGAACCCATTGTCGTTTTATGATCTCCAGACTGCGGCTGTCACATGTTACATAAATGTGTGCTTTAGGCTACTCGATAGAGATGGTAGACGAATGAGAGTCTCCAAAACCTTTGCATTCAACTCCTCCTCCTCCTTCCTCACGTTTGTGGCGCACCCAAATGTCAACTCTTCTATCTGACTGAGCATAGTCCACCCAACTTCGTGTATCGGGTACAGCTCGAGGCATTGCGTTACATTTTGTCCATTCAAGGATCTTTTCAGAAAAATTTAAATTATTTTATTTATATCAGTTCCATTTAAATCTCAAGCCGTATCTCGAAATCCACAGTCTTCAGAACAATGAAGTTTATTTAAGGTAATTGATGGATAGAGCAACCAAGACGTGCAAATGTCGGTAGTGGATGAGGCGAAAAGACAAAATAATTACTAATTCTTCGTAGAAGATTCCTTTTCTTTCGAAGCTGATTGTCGATTTTGTAAGGATGGGGAATCGTCATCCCGATCATCTGCTTGGTTCTGATCTTCATCGTCTTCGGGAGGAGTGTCCAACTCGCCCTTCACTTCTGAAGCGGTTTCCTCATCCACCTCTGCCACGGCTGGCAGAATCGCTTCTCCAGGATTATTTGATGGTGAAATTATGGAACTTGGAATACTGCCAGGTGTTGAAGGGGAATCACTTGGTAGACTGTGCATTTCAAGGCTATCCAACGACTTGATTCGTGATCCCAGCAACTCTCGAGGCATATCATGATGTTCTTCCGTTCCATGACCCTAATTATTTCATGCCACTTTATGTTGAGGCTTAAAAATGAATTTAGCCCTAAAAATGTATAAATAGGTATTTTCCTAAATTAAATTGGAAGTACCTCTTTGCGGTTAGCACTATGGCATGCACCCAACTAAATCACACTTTCTTTCAGTTTTTAAGTTTCTGGGTTCAAGTCGGATCTTACCATGTGAAGGTTCACCGTACTGACCCCATTTAAGCCACCTTCATGGGAATCAGTCCCTAAAACGCTAAACACCAAAATATTCAAATTAAAAGTCGTAACTTTTTTAATTAATTTAACATGAAGCACCTATTTTGAGTGCAGAAGAAACCACAAAAAGTCTTTTTCCGGTGGTTATTAAAGGCTTTTGAAAGTAATTTTTTGGTTCTCGCATCGTTTTTGTTGTAAAAGTTAATCTTTACTAGATGCAATGTAGCTTAATTTAATTTGAGAGGGATACTACTTAAAAGCTATTAAAGTAGGCAACACAAATTCTTTAAGAGGAAGTACTCACTCAACGCTAAACACGGAGCCAATCATCTGCGTAGATTGCAGTTTTTTAGAGTCAGCAGTATGCGGTAGACTAACATTGACTGAATCCCAAAATTTATCGCGAACAAGTTCAGTTGGACGATACTTCCTATCCACCATATGCATTCCGTACTTTTCTCGTTAAAAGAATGAAACAATAGAAAGCTTTAAAAGCTATTAATTTTAGTCAGTGAACAGGTAAAAGCAATTTTTTGTCTTTTATGTCTTTGATAGGAGATTTTGCATCGCTCTTTGTGACGATACCTGTTGGTGACAGCCGACTGGATTGTGGAGGCACGACTACGCCTCGAGAGAGGACACGCTGAATGCACCAACAGGTGTCAGCCTTCCCTACACCCACTTGTAATTTAGCAAAATTACTAATGAGTGAATATGACAGTCGTAAATTTGTCCACTGGGATGTCTTGTGGCACCGTCGGCCTCATTCGGGGATCAGTGGAATCTGACTCCCACATTTATTTGAGTTTTCAAGAAAATATTGTGGGTTTTCCCCATTCTTCAAACAAATGTGGTTCATTGTTTTAAACATAATTACTAACTAACTTACACTCCAATTGCTGTCAATTATGGAGTTGATGTCAAAGTCTTCATCGTCTTCACCCATCGGATTTACCAAGGTTTCGGCCACCTTTTTGAGATAAAAAAACCTGTCAACTGTCAATTGCATTTTAATCGAACCAAAACTTGAAACTAGAGATGGAGGAAAGGAAGTACAAAAGTTATTTAGACTAGAGAAGAAAACTGGAGGTGTTAACAACTTTGTAAACTTTTTTGCTCAATTGGCAATAAATTTGTCCACCGGTCACATCTTTATTTTGAAAGGTAAAGCCGTAGACCGGCCTACTTAGCAGAGGACGATGCATTTATGAGGGTGATAACGGTGGCGGTTGGAATGGGAGACCTCGCGGACAGTGCAAAGAGTGGGAAAGGAAGGCGGATGTTTGGTGGATTCATAAAAAAAACCTGATTTAAAGGCCGTTCTAATCCGTCAATTTTTCCTTTCTGTAGAGCGATTAATTTTAATCCCCGATAAGATGACATTTTTACATTCGTTGGGGATGTTATTTGTATAAGTGTGAAAAAAAAAGAACAATTTGGATTTCAAGTGTGGAGAAGGGAAGACAAAATATCGCCAGAGGCCTAAGAACATCGAAAATTTGTAAAGACAAAGGAAAAGAAAGTGTGTCGGTCCAGTGACTAGCGTACAGGATTTAAGGAATGTCTAAACCACTGACACGATTGACATAAAGCGATGTGGCGCCTAGTAGGGGTCAGTGGTGTCAGCGGTGCAACAGCATTGTCATTAGGTCTCCTGTTCTAACGACTACAGGCTTCACCATCCAGAATTGACGAGGCTGTGTCCCTGCCGAGTCGTGAAAACAAGAGAACTTCACTAAATGTAAACCACTTCATCGACACAGGAACGGGAAGGGATAACAGGTGGCACGAACAAAGTGGACACTTCCAGAAAAATAGCAAAAAATGTTAAGAAGGAAAAAGCTATAAAGGCGCAAAAAAATGGAATAAGCAGATATTTTTAAAGGAAAAAGATGGATAGGAAGAAAGTGAAAAATAAAAGGAAAACCAAGTGAGTCGCCGATCAAAGCAATTTTACCAGTCTTGCCCACAATGGGATTGGATGGTGTGGGGTGTTGAATTCATGCGCAGACAATCAGACGTCACTCACCTTTAGCCATCCCATGTACACTATGAACTCGAGAATTGTGTACAGTGGAACGTAGTAGTCCCGCCTGAACGGCTCCGAGTATTCCGATGTGTTGACGATGAACTGACGACCAATGATGGAGGACAGGAAGTACGAGTAGACCGCCAAAGTCACCACCTGAAACGCGTTAAACAGGCACACATCCCCTCTCCGCCTCATCCCCTATCCGCTTCATCAACGACCACAGCAGCTGCTGCTGCACCAGCTGCAGCAACACGGCGTGACAGTCATCACACAACACCTCATCACCCCTTCTCCAACACAACTCCTCTTCCTCTTCACTTCCGACTGCCCCGTTTCCGCATTTGGTCACAACACTGTCGCCGACTACTGCAGTGACA